GTTGCTGTTTGAGCATTAAAAGTTCTGCAAGGTTAGAAAGCTCAAAAATGACAACAAATAGCTCGTTCGGACTACAGCGCGCTTCTTCCAGATATTGTGACATCACAAAGTCACTAATTGAAATAATTCTCGCACACATAGTTCACAAAAAGGGGGCAATGGCCTGGCTGAGCTGCGCTAGAGAAGACAAAGAAGAAGAGCTGCTTTAGTGGTATATTGTCACTCTGTCACGGTTATGGTAAGGGGCCTTACATTTCCAGAACAAGCTCTAAGCGGTTTGCCAATCACAACGCCCTTTGCCAGCTAACCAATCAGAGCACATTTTGTATTTCGGAAGGAGGGGCTTCATCTAAACATGAACTAAACAGGGGCACGTGAGACAGACTAGACCGAGAGGTGCTGCAATAATGTAAAATATGTGAAACATAATGCGTATTTGAAACAATCAAGCATGCACTGTAAAAAAAAAAATCCATAAAATTTACGGTAAAAAAACGGCAGCTGTGGTTGCCGGAATTTTACTGGAATGAATACGGTAGCAACATTTTAGGTTTTACAGTTTTAACTTAAATTTACAGTTAAATACCGTAATTTCATTAACTGATATAATGTAAATATACCAACCTATTGAAGTACTGAAATCTGTTTTGTACCTTTGTTATACACTGATAACCACCAAATTTTTCACTTCCAAAAATGGTATACTACCGTAAAATTACATGTAATGTCCAATACAGTTTTTCACCGTATATAGTAGGGGAATTTTCCGTTAACCATTTAACAGGTTTTTACTGTAGCATTTTTACAGTCTTTCAACGTTAAATTCACAGTCATTTTTTACAGTGTGAAAACCTATTCTAGCATACCCCAAAAACCAAATCAAGACTTCATAAGAGGGCATAATAGGACCCGTTTAATGGAATGTAGTATCTGAGAGTGTCCCGCAATGCTGAAAATTAATAAACAAATGCTTTCTAACAGGACCCAGTACTCTTCTCTGGAACTCTGCGGATGAACCTGGACCCTTTCGAGAAGTCTAGTGACGAGGAGATATGGACCGTTCTGGAGCTGGCTCATCTCAAAGATTATGTCAGGGGTTTGCCAACAGGACTTCAACACGTGGTCTCGGAGGGTGGAGAGAATTTAAGGTTTGTGAGTTGTAAAACATGAACTACAATGTTTATTGGCATTGATCAAATGTGCTTTGAATGCACTTGATACAAATTAGTGCATCTTGGGGTGCATCAAAATTGCGCTGATTAATTATAATATCGATAGTTTTCAGTTTGTTTAGGTTTTAGCAGCCATAGTACTATAATAATGACAGCTAATCTTTCAATCGTGGATATAGAATTTCCAGATGCATGTTTAGTTTCTGATGTTTACATGTTAATGGATCTCCGACAGTGTTGGTCAGAGGCAGCTGCTATGTCTCGCCCGGGCCTTGCTCAGGAAATCCCGTATACTGATCCTGGATGAAGCCACTGCAGCCGTGGATCTGGAGACAGACGATCTCATCCAGAACACCATCCGCACAGAGTTTTCCCACTGTACCGTGCTTACCATCGCACACAGGCTGAACACTATTTTGGACAGTTCACGGTGAGCAGCCTTCAAGACGAATCCTTTTTATGTTTATAGAGCTTGATTCAAAGCGGCTTTACAGAGATAAATTGCAGTAATACTGCCTTAAATTTAATAAGATTATCATTGGCAGTTCCTTTTAACACTTGACTTAAAATGCTTTACCATAAACCTCTTTCAGGGAGCTGTAAATGTCATGCATATGCATAATTATATTAGGACTATGCTTATAAAAACTAAACTGAGACACATTTTATTCTATTATCAGTCACAACAAATGGAGGCATACAGCTGGAAATTGTACTGACCTTTCCTCTTTCCTCTTTTTGTATTTGTAGGGTAATGGTCCTGGATTCTGGTAAAATCGTGGAGTTTGATTCACCCAGTGTATTGCTTAACAACAAACAGGGACATTTCTATGCAATGGCTAAGGATGCTGGGATCAGAGGAGGGGAGACGAGTAAACCTACAAATATGTCTACTGACCTATAATGCTTAAAGTTTTTGCATTTCTCTTTTAAAACTTTACTAGTCTTGAGGACCAACATATTAAAATGTTAAGCAATTATATTATTATTATTCTCTATAATCCTGTTGTTTTTTTGTTGATGTGTTGACATGGATTTATATGTTGTGGCAATAAAGTTTATAAAATTTTGCATTTCGTATATGCCTATGTATTTGAAGAACATATGACTTTGCACATATTTGAATAACAGCAATTTAGAGAATTAGAGAATCTATAGAGAACATAGAATTCAGAGAATTAGAGAATCTATAGAGAATATAGCATTTAGAGAATTAGAGAATCTATAGAGAACATAGAATTTAGAGAATTAGAGAATCTATAGAGAATATAGAATTAGAGAATCGATAGAGAATATAGAATTTAGAGAATCTATAGAGAATATAGAATTTAGAGAATCTATAGAGAATATAGAATTTAGGGAATATATAGAGAACATAGAATTTAGAGAATCTATAGAGAACATATAATTTAGAGAATCTATAGAGAACATAGAATTTAGAGAATCTATAGAGAATATAGAATTTAGAGAATCTATTGAGAACATAGAATTTAGATAATCTATAGAGAATATAGAATTTAGAGAATTAGAGAATCTATAGAGAATTAGAGAATCGAGAATATAGAATTTAGAGAATTAGAGAATCTATAGAGAATTAGAGAATCTATAGAGAATATAGAATTTAGAGAATCTATAGAGAATATAGAATTTAGAGAATTAGAGAATCTATAGAGAACATAGAATTTAGAGAATTAGAAAATCTATAGAGAATATAGAATTTAGAGAATTGGAGAATCTATTGCGAATATGGAATTTAGAGAATCTAGAGAGAATATAGAATTTAGAGAATCTATAGAGAATATAGAATTTAGAGAATTAGAGAATCTATAGAGGACATAGGAATTAGAGAATCTAAAGAGAATATAGAATTTAGAGAATCTGTAGAGAATATAGAATTTAGAGAATCTACAGAGAATATAGAATTTAGAGAATCTATAGAGAATATAGAATTTAGAGAATCTATAGAGAACATATAATTTAGATAATCTATAGAGAATATAGAATTTAGAGAATCTATAGAGAATATAGAATTTAGAGAATTACTATATTCTGGGTGCTAACAACCTCACAAAAAAAGATACATAAACAAGTTCTTCCCTCAGTAACCTCTCCCACATAACTCAAATTAAGAAAGAATGAAAATGAAAGCCAAAAGACAATTTACAAAAGAAAACATGCATCCAACAACAGTCTGCCATTCAGTATGTGAGTGTGTCACTGGTCATGAGCACTGTAGAATCATGCCGGTTTATTGGTTGATTGCACTAAAGCAGGGGAGTCAAACTCAATTCCTGGAGGGCCGGAGCCATGCACAGTTTTCTTCCTCTGCTATTCACTGCCACTTAGCAAAATAGTCTGTTTGTGAGCGCCACCAAGATGTGAGCTGTGTCCCAAATGAAGCACTATGCACTTATTCTGCGCACTATAAACTCAACCATCTAGTGTTGATTTATATAAGCTTATTTTATCCATCATCAGAGTCTGATAGTCTCTCCCCCTCCAGTATGTAATTAAAGCTGCGAGCGCTGAATGCATGAAGTGTCCAACATCCCACACTGTTGTTTTGGTTAATAAAGTGCATCATCTGGGCATTTGAAGTGCACTCTTTTTTTATGTGATTTTCAGACTTATCATATTTTATATATATATAAAAGTGAATTGGGACACACCTATCATTTTTTGTAACAGCAGTGACTCTGGGCATGTGGCCAAAAGAGTGAATCTTATTGGTTGGACAGTCTTCTTCACAGTGCAATGGAAACGATTTGCACTGAATTTTTGCACTGAACATTTATGTTAGTGTGAACAGGCCTTGACTGCTGAAATAAGACTGGCATCCTGTTGTTCATCCATACAAAATCAGGACAAAACAGACAAAAAAAAAGAACATTTTGGATTTTTCTTTTCATCACTCCATAAATCTGAAAATTCCAGAATAAAATAAAGCATTACTTTTTTGTTTGTTTTTGTATAAAATATATGTAAGTGCTGCTGATGTAGAGTAGAAAAAAAAAACTAATTTTGAGAAAACTGCCTTTAAATATAAATATTGTAATTGAAATCTTAAGACACAATTAGATAAAGTGCAATAAAATAAACACTTACTTAAGTGTATTTTGGATGATTTCTTTCCACTAGTTTAAAGTAACATGTTTTATGAAAAGCCAAATAGGCCGATACCACAAAATGGACTAATTCATGAAAAAAAAAAAAGTTTTGTCCAATTGTGTGCAGTATGTCAGGAAAGCGTTCTGCCGCTGGTACACTTTGCTTTAGGCAAACACTACAGTGGAAATACAGCCACTGGTGACTTTCTTGCAAAATACTGCAGAGTTCATGCAAACACAGCAGTCCATTATGATTATGATATACATATCCTCTCAAGTGGCCTCATGGGATGTAAAGTGTCCACTGGATTCTCACAGAAAGTAGTAAGTCAAGTACTTTTAGCCCATACTGTGAATTTGGACACACCACTCTTTCCACATACCTTTTTTTAAAAAAATTAAATAGATGCCCATTCTGGTTGTAGGAATTGGAGGAGCTGAATCCAGAGTTTGGACAGATCCTTTCTTTTCCTTTAAGGAAAAAACATGCAGAGTGCACGATGATTGTCCGACATGTGCAGTAGAATGATCTCTCCTGCTATATCTGCAACCTACAGTAGGTGGCGGTATTACTCATCAGGAGGAAGCGGCTACAAAACCAGAGGCAGCAGCAGCAGCAGCAGAAGAGCATGGGCGGTGAGATAATCGGCATGCTGGTTACATGACTAGTAACTTCATAACACATTCACATGAAGACAGGTTTATCTGCGAGATCGAGAGCATGGTGCTGCAGGTACTCAGGCTCGCCTTGTCGTGTCGCTGTCAAACTTTACAACAGATACAGGTGAGGCACATTATTGTTACAGCAGCAGTGAATGCATGAATACATCATCATTTTCCAGGAACACGAATGTGCTTTATTAGTATGTAGCATAAGTGTACAGAGCGTGATCGCTAGTTTCTAATGCAGTTTCCCGTTCTGGAGAGAAGGTGACCTGGACGACCTGAATGAAACACTCCGGCGCAGTGATGTGTGGTTCCCGAACTAGTCGGATCTATATAAGTGAATGATATGAGTCGGCTCCCCGTCTGAGAGTCGATTTCTAAGACGGCTCTACGGCATTTATTTATTTGTTTTTATTTTTTTACTTTCTTAATATAAGACAAACTAATGGGGTGATTTTGACATGCTGCTTGTTGGCACACGCACTTCATGTACTGATGCTGCTGCTTTGATGTGTAGGTGATGATTCTCGCTCGCGACTGGTCGCTCGCACATACACATCAACAGAATCGACACAGTGCACAATGTGACAATGCTTCAGGGTTAATAGACATAACGATACAACTGTATTGAATGCTTCTGTTTTGCATGCTGTAATTTAGTTTTTTTAATCTGTTATATGCACACCATGTTAAATTGAGTACGATTTGTAATTTGTGTTTTGTATAGTTCACTAACGTTACCCTGAGAGCACAGGTCCGGTGTTACGAGATTTCCGGTTTCCGAGATTATCGGTTTCAGTGGGCGGAGCAAACATGAATATTCATGAGTTTCCCGGACATGTGCGTGGAACCAGGTGGAACTGAGAATTTCAGTTCAAGCTCGTTGTATCTAATCCGTGTATCATTCGATCATTCGTTTTTTGATTTAATATTGAAAGTAGAAAAATGAGAAAACGGCTCCTTTTTCGTTTTTTTGTTTTTTTACGAAAAACGAAAAACGAAAATTCAGCTTAAATTTTCGTTTTTCGTTCATGTGTGGAAAAATGAATAAACAGCTTGATTATTCGATTTCTACATGTGGGCGGGAATTAAACGCCCCTTTCTGCTGATTGGTCAGCCGAAGATCAAACCGTGCCTTCATCAGTTCTTCTGCAGTATC